CATCTGTTTGTCCTGCCTGTCCATGTTTGCACCTGTATGGGTCTAACACTGTCCCTTTTGTGTAAACACACTCATAACCTGATTCAGAAAACCTGGGATGACTTGAAGAGTTAATATCTACCATCGTGTGACTGCTTAGTGAGAAAGGCGTTGTTTGGTTTAGTTAAGCCCGATTATGAAAACATATCCTGGCTATGTTAAACTTTCCTCGTAGTTCATGTTTGTTGTTATCGTTTTTCTTTGTCTGCATATTCCTGCATTTCTATACAGTCGAACAGGGGACTAAAAATATTTAAAAAAAGGCAAGGATGTGTACTGCATCACTTGCCTGCACAAACGTGTGCACACGATTCATATAAATTGTGCACCCACTTGTAAAAACATTTCTTTATTGAGCTACTGTTACCTTAAAGATCTCATCTACCATTAAGCTGTCCTATGCAGGTCAGTACAGTAACAAAGGGAGACTCATACATACTGCATGCGACATAGTAATTCAGAAATTCTGCACTTGAACTAAAAAAAAAAAACTTCTGCAACATGGTTAAAATGAAATGGTTTATTTAAAAAGCACATTAATTAATAAAAATGTTTGTCTGATAAATAAGTGTACATGACACACTAGTTGTACATTGTGCTCATGAAAAAGCCTGCTGAGACTTTTTTATATATTTTTTTTAAAACTGTGGGCAGTATGAAATATACATGACTTGACGTACAGGCACATTATCCCGGTTATTCAACAAACTTCTGTGCTGTCAGTCCCCTGCGAACTTGTCAGCTGCCTGTTTGTTCCCAGTTAACATGGACTGGCTTTGTATCTGAAAGCAGTTTTACAATGTCACAAGTGAATTGAAAGCAGAAAACATGGTTTAACAGCCACTGGAGCAAAACCAAGACTTCGCTGTTCACTGTGCTGAACGTCGAGTCCAGTTTTAGGGGTGAAAATTTCTCCGCCGTCAGCCTCTCAGCGGACCGTCCCGCTAATGTGGCTCATTATCTCACACGCTGTGATCATGAGGGAGGCTTCAGGTGAACACTCGGGGGGATGTACGCATTTGGGAGCGGGCCAGCGCAGCATGCAAACAGCAGTAAACAGTTGTGTAATACGTCTCTTTCTGTAGAAGTTGCAGTGCAGCGTTCGCCGGCGTGTGTCTTCCTGTGCACACACACACACATAGCTGCTGGGTTTGTAGCTCCGTTATTTCAGACCAGCTGTCTTCCCAATTTCCCACAGTCAGGAACATCTGTGTGTGCCCCCTCCTCACCCCTCTCTCTCTGTGTCTCCCCCCTTCTCTCTCACCTCCACACCCTGTGTATTTCTCATTATTAACAGCCTATCAATGTGACAGGTAACAGAAATCCAAGTTAAGTAGGAAAAACACCTCAGAGCTCAGGCAAATTGGTAGCAGTCGTCAGCACTCCTCTGTGTGTGTGCCTTTGTGTGCTTGTTTGCCATCTTTATGCTGTTGCTTCCATTTTTTGTGGCTTGCTCTCTCACTAGGAAAGTGTGCATTTCAGTATTTTATATAGTATGTATATATTTTCACTCTGTGTGTGTGTGTGTGTGTGTGTACAGCAGTCTTGGAGGCCATTAGGCTGCTGACTGTCGTATACAGTACAGGGCTGTTGGTGGGCCACAGATAAGCTCGGGGATTGCTACGCTGCTGGCCCTTTGCAGGAGCCATGATAATGCGTTTCTGTCAGCCTCCTGAGGTGGGAGTGTCTGTGTGGGTGAGCGGGTTTGTGCATGTGTACGTTTATATAATGACGATATGATGAATTCTTATAAACTCCTTATAATAAAATTGATATAAAGGGAAGTTTTACCGAAGGAATTAATTGGCGATTCGTTGCTTTCATTTATCTCCCACCGTATAAACTAAATCTCTTTGGGTTTGAAAGGCTGATATTCTACCTCTTTTTTAACAAATTAATGTGAGTCCCACATGTCCCCAGAGTGTGCATTTCAAATTTCAGCTCAAAATATATTTTACCATTCCTATCATACCTCCGGTTTCAGTTCTGTTTCCAACTGAGCTGGTGCTGCCCACACCCTTTTCAAGAAGAGGGCTGCAGGGACAACTCTCTTTGTGTCCATTCTGTTCAGTGAGTGGCAGAATAGAGGCCTGTTTTTTTTTTTTTTTTTTAATACACTGAAACAGCCTGCAAACCTGAACAACTTGTTCAGAGATGCACTTTCTGATCCACGGCGAACAGACAGAAACTAGTAGGTGATCTGTTCTCACATTATGGCTCTCATAACCCATAATCAAATGAGGATGATGAATTAAAAACTGGGTTTTGCTAAATACGCCCCCTTTAAATGAAAAATAAGCGACTTAAGCATGGAAAGTGATTTGAATGCCTTGGACATAGTGGAATTTTAAACTGTACATACTATACATACACCACACATTTATAATGTTCAGAAGACATAGATGTTTAATCAAAAGCTACAACTTGAATTGTTACAAGGCAGCAGGAGGTTAAACATTGAGTTGGTAAAAAGTAATTTAAAATATCACTGTTTGCTTTTAACTAAGCAGGTTCTTTACTGTGATTCCTATTTTATATACAAGCTTTACTTTGAAGATGTACCCAGCACAGGGTTTCTTCTTATAAGTCATCTTTCCACTGCAGGAACTCCGGGCAGGTGTGTTCTACTAATTTGCACTTTCAGCCCTTTTGTTTCCATTGCAGTGTTGGATCTGCCAGCTTCGACTGCGACAATGACTCAAAGTATACCACAGAAACAACAAATATTAGTGATTAGGTGAGACTCTAGTACTATGAGGACATAGAATGGTGGCGGCTTTGTTATGTTCGCCTGAATGGTGAATTTAGTATCAAAGATGGCGACGTTCGAGAAGACTACTCGACATCAAGAGGGCAGAAAAAATGTTGCTTGTTGTTCTCAGCGTTGAACCCATGCACAGTAGTTTTTTCAAGATTGTTCAGATGTATCTACCCTGGAGTAGGTACTTTTTCCTTCTATAAAAATGGCCCTGAAAGAGATTCTTGTGGTCTGAAGATGCACAAAGGTTCAGGCTGACCTTAGAATTCCCTGCAAGCTGCTCCAGTGGAAAACTGCTGCTTATAACTAATTTCTATTTCTTGCTACTAGTTTGTGTGAAGTTTCTTTTTGGTTATCGGTTTGTGCACTTTAAAAGACAAAAAGGGAATTGCCAAAGTCAGAGATTCTCTTTATATAAATATGTTTAAAGAGCAGGTTCTGACTTGATTCATCCTGAAGTGTAAATGTGGCGGCCTGAACACGGGCTTATTGACCGTCCAGCAGAGGAAGAAAAGTGTACTACTTTCTTATTTCCTTTACTTTACCAACCCTCATGCAAAGCCACCTCATAATTCCTTGCTTCAGCAGTATTTTGTGGTTGAGTTTTTTTGTTTGGAGATATGTATGTCTTTTTGAAACATTATAGGAGACAACACAGGTCCTCAACTGGGCTTGAACCTGAGATGTTGCTGTCCAACCTTGGCATCCTAACTCCTAAACCACACTCACATCTAGAGAACATCAAAGTTGATGCGCATTTTATGTATTTGAGAACTGAGAATACGCTTCAGAGTTTTACTTGAAATAAATTTCACCTTCATGCTGAGTTCTGCTGAGTTTATGGAAAAGTGGTTTGATCCAGCTCAACAAGTGTTTGAGGAAAGCATTAAACGGCCACTGATGCTGGAGTCGAACATTCCCAAATGATAACTAAAATGCAAGAACTGACATATCATTGTAAAAAAAAAAAAAGAACAGACAAAATGTTTCACCTGGAAGATCAAAGGTAAATAAATAAATGGGCACAATCAGAGCATTTTAACACGAGTGAGTGTGTGTCTCTGTGCAGTCCACAGGGCTGACTTTACTCATCGCTGCTCTTATTTGTGAACCTCTTACCTGCCTGTGATTTTGGGCAGCTTGTCTCCCTAAGGCCTCCTCTGTTTGGAACTACAACAAGCTGGCCTCCTTCATCAATACCTGCCTCGCTCTGTCTAGACGTTCAGACACTTGCTGGGGGTTCACTCTATCTAATCACAGTCTGGCTGTATATTTTCCAAAACCTCCCCCTGAGGAGCCATCACCGCGAGTTTATCTGAGCTCTGCGGAGCCTTTGGACATGCTGAATTTCTTTCTCTGTACTTGATTTTCACCCTCTCTTGTTGTCTCAGCTCACCTCTTACTCCCCGCCTCTCCCTCCTCCTAGCCTCAGTGTGTTTGTCTAGGTGTTAGCAGTGTGTGGCGGCGGTGGAATAACAGCGTTAATTTGCTTTTGCCGAGGTGAAAAAACAATCCATCTTACACCCACCTTGTGAAAAGAAAGAAAGGAAAAAAAAAAGATACACAGCTCCGACTTTTTGCTAAGTTCTGCTGTTGTTCGCTGAGGGACCTGGATTTGTCAATGTTTATAGGCTCAGAAGCGCTGCTCCGGGCTCCGCCGTGATGACTTTAGCCAGTTAGCAGGCTATAGTAGTTCAAAGAAACAATAAACTCCATCTGAACAGAAAGTCAAAGTACAACGGGAAATGTTAAGAGAAGGGAAGTTTATCATTTTGACAGAACAGTAAGAAGTTTTCTCAGAAAGAAAAATGTATCTATGCCATCTTATCATGCGCATAAAAGCAAGTGTGCACACACACAAACCTGCATGTCTGTGTGTCTTTCCCTGCAGGATTATATATATTTTTTATAATGCGCGTGACTCATATCTTCTAGTGTTTGACATTAATTAAATTAAATGGAGATTCATGGCCCTTGTATAGCTGCTAATGTGTATATTATATAGATCTGTGGCTCCCTCCTCATTGTTCTCTTGATGCTAAAATAAAAGCATCAAACAGCCACCGGTGTCCCAACTCACAGCGGAAGATGACACAATGTGCATAGTTGGCAGAAACCCAGCGTTTATAATAGATGGTGGGAAGAGTTTTTCCACGCTTTAGATATTTAACCGCTCCTCCTCTCTCTCTCCTTCTGCTTGCAGCTCTGTCGGTGTTGCGGTCAAGTGAAGAGCAGGCCCCTGTCCCACAGAACAAGTTCATGGGTGACATCGAGGAGCTGGCTGCCAGCTACGAACGCAAACTCATCGAGGTGAGTGTTGTCTCTGAGCAGTTTCTGAGTGGTTTTTTTTTTTGCTTTTGTCACATTTTTCCTCACTCTGGACTAATTTTTTACTGCAACACAAAGTCCTGTCCCTCTATGGAAACAACACAACCATGACTAGAAGTGGGGAGAGCTCAAAAATGTGCAGTTTGACAACATTATCATGCAATTATTTTGTTTTTCAAAGTTTTTTGCAACTTAGATTTGGCATGCGCAGTATTTTTCCAACAGGTGTAACCAATACTGGACAGAAAAATGTGTACTCCACATGCTGTAGATATTTAATTATTTGCATTTTCACCCCTTTGCAAACGTTTTCCACACTGATCTAGGAACACATTTCACCGTGCTGAATGTATCTCTCAACAACTTGCTGCTCTGTATACCATTTTCGAGCCATGCTGCATTCACTAGAAGTAATGTTTCATTTTCCTCTCAGCCTCACTAATTTGTTCCTGTGTTTTCCCTCCTATCATCTCAACACAGCCTGCAGTTCAATTGAAATGTCCTTGAATTTTGTTGCATAATTGTTGGTCGCTGCTGAGTCACGCTTTCTCAGCTGGAGTGAGGAGTGCGTTAAAGTTGGATCAAGCAGTTTTTTTTTTGACAGGATACATGTAGAATATAGTGGGTTTAATATAATATCACAATTTTAAGCTTAGATTTGGTCAATTTTCCCAACAGAATACATGATTAGTACAAGGAGTGCTTGAAAGTTAAAAATCCAACCTTTATTTCTGTTTTTATAGATTCTGGTTCTAATAAATGGTGTTGTGTTCTGAGTTTTAATATCGTCATGCTCATTTATACTTGTCGAGATGAAGTTGGGGGTAGCGGCTGAGCTTAACATTGTAGTTTTTACATTTTGTAAGTGCTGGTGGGTGTTTTTTTTTTTTTTTTTGAAGCAGACCAGCAATTTTATCTGGCTTTATTTAAACTAAACGCACAAGGCTGGTATCAGTCTTCCCATCTAGCTCTCAACCAGAAAGCAAATAAGTGAAATTTCCCGTGGTGGCGCAGAAAGAGCTCGGACTTGTCGGGACAAAGACACGTGGGCATCTTCGGATGTCAACAGTCGATCCTTTGGGTGCTGTGGGTTGTGGGCTTGTTCTGAAACATCCCCCAGATGCTCGATTGGATTAGGATCTGTGTGGTTTCTAGGCAGGGGCAACACCTTGAGCTTTTTGTCATGTTCCTCGAGCTGCTTCAGAGCAGTTTTTGCTGGAGGAGGCTGCTGTTGTTGGGGAGTGTGCATGTTCTGCAACAGTGTTTAGATTGGTGATGTGTGCCAAAGTAACGCTGTGCACGTAATAATGCAGTAGTAATGCAAGCCGAGTATTCCCAGCAGAATATTGCCTTGTAATGAGGTGATCAGTGTTGTTGGCTTCACCTGTCAGTAGTTTTAAAATTATGCCTGATCACTGCAATTAAGACCGTCTGTAGTCGCTTTAGTGTTCTTTCAGAATTTGGCCCACATAGTCCTCGCTGCTTCTTGCTTCAAAGAGGAAGTTTGTCCTTCAGTCTAAGATTTATCCTGTTTGTTTTACCGAGAAGGATAAACATGATCTTTCCATCTGCATTTCGCTCTTTGGATCATCTGCCGGTGCCAGAATCTCAGATAGCTTCTGTTTGCTCAAGGAGAACAGAACAATTCGCTGCATTTCAGTCCAAGTCCCAGCTCCTGCCACGCAGTCTAATTCGTCCACTTACTGTACATCTCATCAGAGCTAATGGGGTAATGATTTGCACCGAGAAATACCTGGGTCGTTAAAGTTAAAGAAAAGAATGATTCAAACAAGTTTCTAGGTTTTTTTTCTCACTGTTGAGATCTGCGCAGGGAAAAATTCTCCCCGAGCCACTCTATCTAAATAAAGCATAGAATTGAACTTTCTGCAGCTGCATTGATTTAAAATCCTTAGCAGTGCCAAGAGCTATTCCCTCAGCTGGGTCTTCACAAAAATATCAATTGCAGGGGAAGGAGAAGGTCTCTAATAATTGGACATCAGCCATCGTGCTGCCTGTTGTGTAAAGGATGATGGGAGTTGTCTTCAGCTTCCTGTTACATTGACCAATAAGGCAGCACTCCCAGGAAGTGTGTATTCTAATGGGAAGTGACGTGGTGTGTGTGTGTGTGGGTAGGGGGGTGTCAACATGAATAATTAATCTATGGTTTTATATTTCTTTAATAAGAAATAATTCAGTCTGTGTTTGTCCAAACTATGTTTTCACTTATTTATGCACATGCATGTATGGTGCATTTTTAATGGTGTTTACTTATTTATTTGTTCATTTGCTTGGCTGTCAGTCTCGATCAGGCTTCCGCAGCAAGGATGTGGGTGTGGGACACAATCGCACCGCCGGCTCTCTCCTGGTCCCAGGCCAGCCAGGCCTCGATGGCTTCATATAAATAATCCTGTGATGCAGAACACAGGTGTTTTCCTTGTGCCTGCAAGGCGATAAGTTGTCTTGTGGAAAGACTGTAAAATGCGAAAGTGGCTGCAGCGGCGAGGCTCATGCGTGCTCTTTGGTTAACGATATCAGCTAACCACAGAGGAAAGGGAACGAGAAAGATACGCCGCTAACAGGAGGTACAGGATGTTCTCATTATGGTTGACTACCAGTGCTGTGAGCAATTTGGTTTGATAGGAGTTGTTACAGTATTCAGAGGGATACAGTGCTGTAAATGTGAGAACGAGGTGGGAGAAGCAGACATGCAAACGTAAAGAAATGCAGTGTGGCTTTTTATATATTTAATATTGTGTAAATGTATGCACAGTATCATAAATCCACATATTATATACACCTGCTCAGGATTACCAGCAGGGTTAAGAAATTGTGTGATTTACATGAGCAGCTGTCGACACTCGCTATTCAACCGTCTCGCCTCAGTGACTGTGACAAAAATCTGACCCGCCAAGTTATTGATTTTAGAAAATGTCACATCGAGCCTTGTTGGATACATACAGACCTGCCGGAGACAAATAAATATTGGACGTGGCTCAGCCTTCATTAACCTGGGAAACACGCCTGTGTTTGTGACCTACTTGAGTTTTAATTTAATGATGCTAATGCATTGTATTGACTTTGACTTTGTTTGTGTTTGAGCAAACTCTCAAGGCGCTCCATGCTCTTTTCCTGCTGCGTCCTCGTATGTTTATGTGTCGTGTCCAGCTGTTCACAGGGCAGTAAAAGGCTATGTGCACTGGTTTAAAATAAAGTAACTTAAAGGTTGACCAAAAGCTGCCTCTCTAACTGGTGATGGCCAATACGTTTTGGTTTGGGTTGAGGGTCTTTAACCTGAAGAAACCCTGTAATGTCTTGTGAAAAGCTAAAGTGTAGCGCTTCAGGTTTATGCTTTGGAGGACATCATGCAGGTAAAGGCGGTGACTTAGGCCTTGTCCACACGTAGCAGGGTTTTTTGTAAAACTGAATATCCTCCCCCCTCCGTCTAGATAAAAACCTCCGTACACACCACCTCGTTTTTAGAAAAAAATTCATTCACACCTAACCGCATAAGTTAAGCACATTCATATTCTACGTGAAGATGTAATAACTCCAACGACAGGAACGACAACCAGGACATACGGAAATTGTCACGGCATTCCTCCTGGAGCAGGATTTCCATCTCGAAGTTCTCCCACCACCTGGCAGTGCATCCCGGTCTGACGCAAAACCAGCGTTGGTGTCTTTGACAGAGAACATGCCTCGGACATGGAATGGCAAGGTGTCGGAAAATAACCGTCCTTAATGCCGTCCTTTGTATATGTTCTTGTACGTGGAGCGGTATCTGGGCCCGGAGAAGAGACAACGCCAACACAGTTTTGAGGGCATCCACGCTGTTTCCAAATGTAAACACAGGTCACATATGTAATGTAAAGAACATATTTTGTCGCAGGCAGTGATGCTTCGAAACCTAAAACCCCGTTATTGATGTACAGACGCATAAACGGAGGACTCGCAAATCTTTACTTTGGTCAGAGGTTTTTGAAAGAATCATTTTTAGTGGCGTAAATCTGTGTTTTCGTGAGGATGACAGGCCAAATCATAGAAAAATATCTTCGTTTTGTGAGATACCCTGCTACGTGTGGACGAGGCCTTAGTGACACACTATATAACCCATTACCTTAGAACTGCTGGTTGCAGCATTCAAGGCATCAAATGTGACACTTTGGTTGCTGATGATGCGTATACGTAGAAGTATGTAGTTTACTGATTTTAATAAACATCCATTCGTTTTGGATTTTCTTAATGCTAACCACCATTGCACACTTTCAACCCCCAGATGCTGCTGATGTACATTGACTAGATGCTTTTAGGGCTGCTTTAGTTGATGTTTTGACTTGTTAGGGGGCAACAGAAGAGGCTAAAATCACAACCCATTAAAGCTTATATGTAAGTTATTATGGAGCTTTTTCTAATTTACACAGACACGGAGAGACATTAACATTCAGCTGGTGTTCTGTTTTCGAATTGAAGTTTTGGTTTCTTCTAAATCCTGAGGGGAAGTGAGTGGATTTCCAGCAGCTCCTCACCACCTAGTTGGTGTCTTTGTTTGCTGTTTGGTGCTGTGCAGGTGGTGGAAAGTGGGTTCATCAGTGCTTCTCTGAAACTAGAGATAAAGGTGGGTAGAGACTGTGGATCACGAAAATAAAACAATGAGCTGAAAGAAACCCTCTGAGCTGAATAGAACTGAAAAATGGGTTCATAATTTCCCATGTTGTGTACTGTAAGTGGCCTTTTCATATTACACATCGTGTCATTTGACCCACAGTGAACAAACAGATATTGATCAGTGCAGCTGTAATGGTGGTTCTTTTCTGCTGCATTTCAATTTGAAAATATTTGAACCCAACACCCCTTAAAGGTAACCGATTATGCTCATTTTCAGCTCTGTATTTTTTTTTTCTGGGACTCCATTAGAGTAGCTTTGCATGACTCACATCAGCACATCATAGTGCCGCCTGCTGTGTGAGTAATAATAGGAGTAG